ATATAATTTTGATTATTATGAGCTTCTGATCGGGCTTTAACGGGGACCTTTTCAGGTTAGACAGCCACGATGGTAGGTTGGTGAGTGAGGGCCTCAATATCCCACCGACAGACGCATCGTGGCCCAGGTAGCGAAAGCTGTTAACTTCCGTCACCATGGCCACACGGCGCCCGTCGATCTTTAGCCCATATTCTTTCCTTGGGACTAGCGACCCTTTCACCGATCCTACCACCATGGCCGAGCACTTCCGGGGTTCAGAACCATGCCCCTGGCTCCCGCGAACTCCACCACTTCGCTGAGCGTCAGAGGAAGATTAACTTCCTCGTCCTCCAGCAAAATGATGTCGTCAGCGAACGCCATAGCGCTGACCTTCACTCCAGGAAGGATCGTGCCTCCCCTGTTCCGTCGTTAAGCCGGCTCAGCAGCTCATCAATTACCATGTTGAATAGCAGTGGGCTAAGTGGATCCCCTTGCTTGACCCCGCGCCTAATCTGAATGCTCCCCGTCTGCTCGCCACCCACTTTGATGGCGGTCTCCGAGGTGGTCAAGGTCGACAATATGTATCTGATGGAGCCCTCGTCTATTCCGAATCTCCGTAACGCCCCAACAACACTCCCATGTCCAACAGTGTCGAAGGCTTTACGGACGTCGAGTGAGACGACGCAGTACCCTTTTCCGGCGCCCACCCTGTTCCTAATGTAGGCCTGAAGGACCATACAATTGGCGAGAGTGCCATCCACCGCAGTGAAGCCGCGTTGGTTGGTGCTCAGGGCGATGACTTCCCGTATGCGGTTAGCCATCGCCCTGTGCATCAGCCTCTGAAGGGCACTCCCGATAGTGAGTGGGCGCCAGTTGGCCGGGTCACACCGTTGACCATTTTATAAATAATAGTAGTGCGCGAACGGCGGAAGCAAACAGGGTGCACATTCCGTATCAAAATAATAGAGAATAGTACGGACAGCACCCTGTTGTTGGCCCGTTTCACGGAGGACACTGTAATTCCGTCGGCGCCAGGCGCCGAGTTGCCCCAAGACGTTTTGGCATTTTCAATCTCGTCCTGCCTGAAGGGCAGGAACGTTTTCGTGTCCTCCGTCAGCGGTTTGTTATGAACGTCTGTCACCTCTCGCGCAGACGACTCCAAGATGCCGCGATACAACCGTTCGACCTCGTCAATAGGGGGAGTAACTTCCTTCTCGTCTAGCGGAGTTCCAGAAATAATTTTCTCCGCTAGAGAGCTACGGTTTTTGTTGAAGAGGTCCTGGGCTTTTTTGAAACCTTCTGCCCTAGGACCCCGCCCTGTTGTTATTTGGGCGTAGTTTCTCTGAGGGGGTTTGTTCCCCTTCTTCTCCCCCTTCTTACCACCCCGCTGTTCTGGAAAGTGCTTTTTAATCCAGTCATCGATATAGGGGCCCAGCTGCACGTTGGCTAGCTCGAGACCCGCATTGCACAGCTCCACAACATGACCCAGGCCGTCAGCTGCCGCAGCCTCCCGCTCAGTGACGAGATAGCTGCGCAGCTGGTGGTTAACAGTAACCTGGGTCTTGGGCTGTGCATGGGGGGAGTGAGGTCGTGATCGCATCGCGCCCTTCTAGGCGTCGGCTGCATGAGAGGCGACATCGACTCATTACGTTGTCGCTTCGTACCGCCGTTCTGCAAAATTGGTGTAACAACAATATGTGCTCTAGGTGTCTTACCGTCTCCGTCGTCTTCGCTGTCCTCTTTGTTGGTAATATCCTGCGGAGATTGCTCCGCAGTTGTCTCAGTGTGGACTGATTCACCCTCGATGTTAGGAGTTTCCACATGGGCACTGGCGCGCGCTGCACCAGCCGAGGGCACAGGCCGAGGGAAAGGGAGATTGTTTGTTTGGATCTCTTTGGCGGCACAGAGGTACTCCTTGTAAACGGGTTTTGTTTCTTCTGTGCCGCACTTGGTCGCGAGTAAGGCCGGTATCTGAAACCATCCTGTCTATAAAGGGTTGCCCCTTTATAGTGGCAGCTTCTATTCTCGCCATTATCTGCATCAGTTCAGATTCCGGCCTTTCCAGCCTCTCCCTCTTCTCGTCATTTACTGCAGCGGCGTGTGCCCTGTGCTCATGCAGTCGCACGCCAGTAAAAGATGAAAACTCCGACCCGCAGTACTGGCATTTGGTCCGCTCTACGGTGCCACACGCGGGTCTGTGTCTTGTAAGTCCATTCTTGGTGTAGAACGCCTTCCCGCAGTCCTCACAATTGTATCTTGTCTGTTTGGCAGGCCCCAGGTTGGCCGCATCACTGGCTCCTGTTTTTGGGGATAGGTTACTTGGGCCTGCCTTACTGGTTCCAGCAGCTAGAGGGCCGCTGGCAGTCTTGTTGCCACCCGCTGGCGGACTTCTAGGTTTTCCGCCCCTACCTTCGGTAGGGCCATCGCGGGTGGCTAAACGCGGTGCCTTCGCACCACGTGTGTGGCTCTCTCCTCCTCTCGAAGTGGCGGGGTTGCTCCTCTTCTTTGCCGGGTCGGCCAT